ACTGATTGTTCCACTTTATCACCTCCTCTTCTGTGGCTGGTAGTCAGTGACTGAATGTCCATTCATTGTGAGTCTTGGCCTGCAAATTACCTTTGGGCAATAAGACCTGGGGTCCCTGTTGAGTCAGTGTCACTGAGCTCTCTGTGGTTGCACAGACTTGACTTAGCCTGTTGGAATCATGATGATGGTGAGGGTCTGTCACTCCAAGGGGGTCCTATTTAGGGCCATTCCTCTCCTGAGCTGGATCTCTACACTCACACAGGATTATCCAAAAAGTTTGGTCGAAATGACATCAAGAATGGTAATACCTTGTGTTGTACCATCTTCATGGTGAGCCATTCCACCTCCCCTTCACCTGTGTCATGGCTTCCTTTGTCTTCCCTTGGAAATAGGTACAGGGCTCTCATGTCTGACAGTAGAGGCCAAAGAAGTTTATGACAGAAAGCAACAGCAGCCACTCAGGCAACCTGGACAAAACTGATCCTTCTGGGTGTAGAGTATGCCAGGTTCTTTCCATCCCCCACTGCTTCCTTACTACTGGACCTCAAGATCCTCTTCTCTACCTTTCTGTCTTCCTTCATTGCTACAATCAACACTCTTTTGTTTAGTTCTTTCTCCCACCAAGCCACCCTTTTCTCCTTCATCAGACATTAGGGTAATGAAATAAACAAACCCAAAAAGGACAGCACAGGGAGGGGTTCTCTTTTGCAACTATTCAAAGCATTCTTGCCCCTGCATCATTCTTGGATCTTTTGTGGGGAAGAGGCTAAACAACTAATTTTTTCAACTGTGACATGAATTGCCACTCCCTAATTAAGTCCTGTTAGAAATATGGTTTGGAACTTAATGTGCAGGTTTAGAAAAAGAGCTGAGGGTTGGCACCACCCAAATATCTCTTCTGAGACATCTGTGCCCCTCCCCTCCAACCAGTGTGGGTCAGGAATACTCTCTACCCTGGTTGCACATTGGAATCACCTAGGGAGCCTAAAAAAAACACTGATTCCAGGGTCCCAACTCAATTAGAATCTCCCTGTGGGACCTGGGAAGAGGCATTTGTGATGCTTCTCTGAGACACAGCAGCTGCCAGTCCCTCAAATGTCAGAGCACAAACTGATGTCCTAAGGATTCCTGAGATAATGTAGATTCTGATCTGATAGGCCCCACATCCACAGGAGCTGATGGTGCTACTTGTGTAAAAGTCACTGTGAGAGCAGGAAAGCCACAGAATATTAGGAAATGGCAGTCTTCTGGGTAGGTGTGCTACATATACCCCCTAACAATACTCTAACCAAATGGAAAAAAAATAGAATGCTCAAAACAAAGGGCTCTCTTACTGGATGGACAGGTAGAGAGGTAGCCACAGGTTACTTCAAGGGACTCCCTGACTCAAGACACCTTCTTTATTATTTTTTCTCATGGTACCTCTCCTGTGAGGGGTGTGTCCATCTCAGGCCTTTGCATGCATTCTCCCAAGTGTTAACTCATACCCAGGTTTTGATAATCATCTATAGGCTGAGACTTTTCTGTTCTTGGGGTGACATCCTTTAGAATCCAACCATGCAGAATGAAGAACAGTGATATCTGCACAGTGACCCCCTCATCTATATTTGTAATTGAACAACGAGTTCTCATTGCTAGGATGCCAGTGTCTTCCATTACACTCAGCCACTGAAATTGTATCATCATGAGCTTGTCCTTTTAGGGACATTCACCTATCCTGAATCCACCTGCATCAGCTCCCTTAGAGGATTGAGAACAGATGCTGCCCCCCCCACCCTACCCGGACAAGAGTCTTTGTGGTGGGAGACATACAGCTGCAGACATCTACTGGGCCAGCCACTGGCCACCTCCAGTCCTAAGCATGATGTGTCCTTGTTATGTCTCCTCCTGTTTGTGCTTTTAGCAACATGTCATTGGCAGTTGCAGGAGTCCTTACCAGGACTTGGCTTCTTGTACTTGGAAGTGGGTAGTAAGGTGGTCAACTGATCTGCCATTGTTGTGCTTCCTCTAGGGACTAAACCCTTGCATTATTCATTTTGTGCAAAGTAAATACTTCTCCAGAAATGCTCCTTTCTTCACATGAAGCTCTTTTCCTGAAAGAGTCATTTAGCTGCAGAAAGTTCCCCTGTTAAGAGAAAGAAAAGACCACTGACTCAGGGAAAAGACAGAACCAGGTTTTTTCCTATAGTTGTCTCCTGGAGGCAGAGTCCTTCGTGTCTCTCTAGTCCCTCTCACTACTCCCTGTGAAACCAGAGCAAGGATGGTGCCTGCCATAGCATGACCTTTCCTAATTTTTGTTGAACATAACTGTCAGAATTTTCTCCTGGACATAGAGGCCTTGACACTTTTGGATACAAATGTTTGGTTTAAGAAGTGCTGGAACATAGACTCAAAGATGAGGGTAAATTTGCCTCTTCACAAATGGCCAGCACCTGTGTGCCCAGATCCATGCAGAATCAGGTGATGAGCAACAAAACATAAATTGTTAGCAAATGAGAAATCTGCTGGTGGGCTTCAGAGAAATGGAATGGTCCCTGTGTGGTCTCTCTCCTCAGTTCTACTGCAGAGTGAGTACTGAAGTACTATGTCCCTGGCTGTTGTCCATCTCATCTGGAAATGGGTAGGAAGCTGGTTTGCAGAAAAACATCCATGTCCTTGAGAAGGCCATGCCAAACCAGGCAGGCAGACAGGCCAAGTGAAGCAGCAGGGTCTGGAGACTGACAATTGCACAAGGTCTTATCAAACACAATCGCCCACAATTCCTGGGCATGGCAGGGTCACATGTGGAGTAAACCATCAGCCCTTGTGTCTACTCAGGGAGCTATGAGCAGGAGTCATCAAATACAGCAAAATGTCAAGAAGTCAGTTCTACAAACTTTGGGATGCATTAAGTTTTTTTCCTAATAGTGTTGCCCTTGATGGAAGAGATAATCCCTAAAAGTCTACCCTCCTTACACAATTGGAGCCCAGTGAAGGCTATGAGGCTGGTGCCCACTGCCTCTCTATGTACCTTCAGTGTACTTCTTATCTACTGTGTTTTCTCTTTATTACAAATTTTCAACCTTTGAAAGCATAGATACCAACTTCTGAATTTAGGTTCCCAGAGAAGCTTCTAGTTCCTGGAGGTCACAGACATTTGACCCGTGTTTGGAAACACACATATCCTTTCCTTTCATAGTGCTCCCAAAATTCTGAGCCCTTCTGGTTCTGTATTTGTTCATAACCCTGTATTGGCTCTTGAACCTGCCCAATATAGATCACGACCATTCCATGAGGTTTCTGATTGCATGGACCAATTCAAGTGCTAACCTAGTGCTCAGGTTGGATTTCTTTATATTTCTGTGTTACAGATCAGCCCAGAGCCTAGCAGTAGTGCTTGGCACATTGTTAGTAGCAAGTCACTATTCATGGGGTTTACTTGCCTAGACACCAGGCTTGGGGTGCAATGACCTATGATAGTCTCAGAAGGCTGCCATCCTTGCACTGAAAAATGGAGAACTGACCATGTGAATTTCAGAATAGGTGCATGCATGTGTGTTCTTTTAGGAGCAAAGCCCTGCCTGACCCCTGGCAATGTGAGGTTACATCATGCTTGTGCAGCCTGAGGAACAGGACGTTTCATAGCTGTGAGTGTAAAGGGCAGCTGAGCAGTACAGCCGTTGTGTCACCATGTAGAGTATCAGTGCCCGTTGTTCTTGCAGCACTTATAAGTATACTGGATGAGAGAAAGAATAATGAAGGCTAGTAACATAAAGGGAAAGAGTAGCCTCACTCACACCCTTGCCCCCTGTCTAACCGACCACATGGCATGGTGCTGAGCTTCTGTTTTCTTTTCTATTAAGTCAGAATATACCCTTTCCTCACAGCATTTGTGTCAAGATTAAAATACTGGGCACCTACAACTGTCCCCACTACATCAAAAGATTGTTACTCAGTAGATGTTAGTGCCCTGCCTCCCCACCAAGGGTCCTGAGGGACCATCACTTAGTTCCATGACATTCACCCTCAGCATGCACTGAGAATCCACTGTTTGCATGAATTACAAGGTGATTAGAATTACCTTCTATGTGATTCTAACTTCACAGCTCATTTTTGAAATAGCATCTTTCATCCCTGAGTGTCTGTGCACAGTGCAGAAATGAGAACAGTTTCCCTCTATGGGCAGAAGGATGAGATCCAGGTTCATGCTTTTCCTGGGTAAACATCAGATTCAGCAGGAGAAATGGGGTGGGGTGGGGCAGAAAGGCCTGCACCAACCAGAATCAGGTTCAAGTTCAAGGAGCATATACTAAGCACCTACTGTGTGTCTGGTGCTTTTGCACACAGTGGTCCCCCTTAGCAGATAAGGCAACAGAGGCTCAGCTGTAGTCATCTCTCAAGTCCACATATGTGAGGCAGCACAGCCAGGAATCAAGTCAGGCCTCATTCCCTCTGCTACACATCTCCTACTCAGGCTTGGTGACTGTTTTTGTTCCTTTCCACAAAAAAAACGCAATGATGATCAACAGATTCTTTCTGACAGAGCAGGTTCCTTTTGTGCCTTTCAAGGTGTCTAGCTTCACTCTCAGGTGACTGAGATAGTCAGATAGTTAGATAATTCTGCTCCTGCGGTAATTTTTTTAAGATTCCCTGAGAAATGGCTCACACAGAAGAGCTCAGCCAGGCAGCTCCTGAAAATAATTCAAAATAACGACTCATGAGTGATTGTGAGGAAAGCTATCTCACACAGAATCTGGAGCAGGAGAAAAATAGACATGGCATTCCCTCTGTCAACCCTGATGGCTACCTCTCACCCACTCCCCACAAGGATCTATGCCAGACTAACTCAAGGCTGTCTACATGAGAGCAGGGAGAGTCCTGGGGCACTCAGCCTTTGGAAACAAACCTGGCAGATTTTCAGTTTGGGCGTCACTTTTTGTAATTTACTGTAAACTGTCCCGTGGGCAGAGCTGGGCATGGATCCCACTACACTCACACCCTTGTTTTGCCTCCCTGGCTAGGTCCTGGCAGCAAAAGTTCTCAACCTTGTCCTGCCAAACATGTCCCTGGGCCCGATCGATGCCAGCGTGCTCTCTCGGAATAAGACAGAGGTGAGAGTCTTTCTGAAATGAGGGTGGGGATGAGTGGTTAGCTGGGGCTGGTGAGGAGTGAAGGCAGCAGCCCCAGTTGGAAATCCGAGTTTTAGCCCTAGCAGTGGCATTTCGCCACCCTTTTGCCAAGGCTTTGCATGAAGTGATGGGGACATGGAGATGCATGAGATGCCATCTGGCTTCAGAATAGGGAGGAAAGGGATATGTGGTCATGATGCCTGAGCTATACATTAGACATGAAATGGTGCTAACAAGATAAAACTGTGTGTATATCAGCCAAGTCTCTTTTGGTTGTAAGTGAAAGAAACTTAATTCAAAATGGTTTAAGCAAATTTAAAAGTGAAATTTATTGTTGAATATACTAAAGACCTAGGGCATGAGTGGATCCAGGGGCTCAAAAATCTTGTTTACCATTCATTCTCTTCAGGTTTCATATCCCCTGGTTCAGCTTCATTCCTGACCAAACTTTGCCCAAGTGGAGGCAGAGGTGGCCACTGGCAACTTTACATGAGCAACCCCAGTGGGAAAATAGCACCTCTTTCCAATAAAAGTCCCAGGGCTGATTCTTATTGGCTGATTATCCAAGCCTGGGTTATTTGTCCAAGAAAGGGATCAGTGTCAATCCCACACAACTTCATGGACCAAGAGTGGAGGAAAAGTGGTCCAATTGGGATAGCATAGCAAAAGACAGAAGATGGATTTAGGCCAGGCCAAATGGGTTGTGGGAGTGGTGCTGGGCTGAAGGGGGATCAGAAGAAAAGTGTTCTTCAGGTAGAGGGAACTGCATGAGTAATGAGCTCTAGCATGGAGAGAGGACAGCTCATTTGAAAAACACCAGTAATTTGGTTTGACTACAGGTAGGGCAGCAGGTAAGTGTTGAAGGCTAAACTGAGGTCAGATCATGAGGTAACCCATGAACCCCATCTCGTGGGAGTCACTGCCCTGAGAGGAGTATCCTGCAGAGTGGTACTGCCTTCTATAAAAGCTAAATTGAAAGAAAAAAGAAAGAAAGAAAGAAAGAAAGAAAGAAAGAAAGAAAGAAAGAAAGAAAGAAAGAAAGGAAGGAAGGAAGGAAGGAAGGAAGGAAGGAAGGAAGGAAGGAAGGAAGGAAGGAAGAAAGAAAGAAAGAAAGAAAGAAAGAAAGAAAGAAAGAAAGAAAGAAAGAAAGAAAGAAAGAAAGAAAGAAAGAAGGGGGGAGGGAGGGAGGGAGGAAGGAAGGAAGGAAGGAAGGAAGGAAGGAAGGAAGGAAGGGAAAAAGAGAGAGAAAGAGAGAGGGAGAGAGGAAGGGAGGAAGGGAGGAAGGGAGGAAGGAAGGAAGGAAGGAAGGAAGGAAGGAAGGAAGGAAGGAAGGAAGGAAGGAAGGAAGGAGGGAAAAAGAAAAGAAAGAAAGATTAAAAAATAAAACCCAGCCCTGGCTGGTGTAGCTCAGTGGATTGAGCACGGGCCTGCGAACCAGACAATCACGGTTCGATTCCCAGTCAGGGCACATGCCAGGGTTGCAGGCAGGTTCCCTGCAGGCCAGTTCCCAGCAGGGGACGCACGAAAGGCAACCATACATTGATGTTTCTCTCCCTCTCTCCTTCCCTTCCCCTCTAAAGATAAATAAATAAAATCTTTAAAAAAAATTTAAAAAAAAAAACAACCCAGCAACTGGGAAAGAAGACCCAGCAATTGAGAAAGAAGAGGCAAGGTGGCTTTGAGGGAGATAAGCTGGGAGGTTGTGCCATTGGTCAATGTCATTGCCTCTGAGACCAGGCGCAAAGGCCAGCATGGATAAAAGGTCAAGGCCAATAATGTACCTGAGGCACTGGGTCTGAACTGACTCCAAGGCCCCAAATATTGGGATTCAACTACTAAGATGTTCCTCATCTATTAAGATGAACCAACCTATCTGTCTCTGTTTTTGATTGGGCCTTTATGCTCTATACCAGGTGAGTGCTGTTTGCACTCAGGACAGGACAGCCCCAGACAAGCAGACTGAGGCTCTGCAAGATGAGAGAACTTGCCTGAGTCACCCACAGGTTGGACTAACCTGAGTTAGTAGATGGGTGTGGTCCCTAGCCCTTCTCTGTCTGTGGGGACAACACCCCCATGCAGACTTACAGCCAGCGAAGAGGTAGCAACCCTAAGTTTCCGGAAGACACTGGAATTATCTTCAAGATTAAGCAAATCATTTTGTCACTTATCTCCCTCAGTTTCCTATCTTGCCTTAGAAATTTGAAGTCATGAAAGCAGTGGCTTCCTAAAGACCCTGTAAAATAGAATGAGGTACTCTAGCTTTCCCAGGTTTCCTTGGGACTTCAGCAGTTGGACTCTAGTTTTATCATAAAATTTGACCTCCAATGCCTTGACTAGATGGCTCAGTTGGTTGGGGCATCATCCCTATGTGCCAGGGTTGTGGATTCAATCCCTGGTCCAGGCATATACAGAGTCAACTGGTAGGTGCATGGATAGGTAAAGCAACAGGTCAATGTCTCTCTCTTCCCTCTCTCTCTCTCTCAAAAGAAATCAGTAAATATACATTTTTGTAAACATTTGATCTCTTGGCACTCTAAGTCATTTAGAGAGTAGGCAACTAAATGCAAACCATCCCTAATATATAGGAAAGAGACATTTGTTATCAGGGATTAAAACTCACAGTCTTCCAAGGTCAGCAGCTCCTTATGAATCAGGCTGGTAAGAGGCTCTAGGAAGTGATGGGATCTGTGGGGAGCCAGAGGGTATCAGCTCCACTCAAGTCATCTGCATTCTATTTTAACTTAATCTAGTTTTAATACCCACAGTGCCTCCCAAATTCACATCTTGGGGCCAAATGTGACCCAACAGGGCCAAAGAATATTTGAGTAGAGAAAAAAAATTGTACAACTTTAGGACCCAGAAAAACCAAAGGCAAAACACATGCTGCTTAGTTTAAGCCTGATATGAGTTAAACCAACATTAACCCCATTTCACAGATTAGGAAACTGAAGCTCAGAGGTTAAATAACATCCATGGCTGCACAATCAATTAAGGGCAGAGCTGGGATTTGAACCCATTTGATTCAAAGTCCATGGCTGAATGCCTGTTACCAGCTAGTAGTTATGATCATTAAGCTCTTTTTTCTGTTTTGTGGTCCATGCAGCCTGTGCCTGGGGGTCATTGCTCTGAGTGCAGGATTCACTTTGTGATGGGAGTCAGTGAGGGACAGGGGCTTTTCCAACTGCTGGCATCCCCCACAATGGCTCCGGCTCAACTGTGTAGTCCCTAGTAAAACCAATTATTTTTGCAGCAGCTATGCTAGGACAACAATGGGTTAAAAGAAAGACAGAGACCTTGCTTTGAGATCTTTGATAGGAAACATCCAGGTGCAAATCTGAGTCATTTATCTCACCATCTGAAAGTACTTGTACAAAAAGAGAGAGAAAAAAGAGATAATAAAATATTCTAAGCCCTCTTTGTTTAAAAGCAGCAACTCTCAGAGTTTTTATTTTATTTTCAAAATGATGGAAAATTCCGCTGAAGGCTTTAAACACACGTAAGAGTCTGGTGTGAAAATACAGCACACGGGCTCTCCTGGTATACTGGGTTGCATGCCTTCATGTATCAGATTTCTGACTGGTCAGGTAAATATAGTGATTCTTTAGAAACACTAATAAATGTCCCTGCTTGGAAGACTTTGAGGAGAGAGGTGATTAATGGCTGGTCAACACAAAGGCTAAAATCCTATTGGAATGAATAGGAGCAGTGTTTCCATTCCTCAGCAGAGAGAATTTACCCCTCACATGTCCAGCTCCGAGTTTCCCTTTAAACCTTGTGCTGAGCTTTAAAAATAGCAACATCCAGAGGGAAATGTGCTCAGAAAAGGCATCTTCCCAGATCTAACATGGGGTGTTTTACAGCACATCTTTAGCAAAGATATTTCCCATGAAGCCCTACAGCTATAAAAGCCTCAAAAAGAAAAGACACATTTGCCTAACAAGCTTACTAAAAGCAGGCCCTTGGAGGAAGGGTACAGGCTGAGGAGGGTAGAAGGTGGTAGACTCTCTGGAGTTCTCTCTGGGGAAACAGGCTGGTTCTGCCATTCCAATGTCAAAAGCAGGATGTTTGTTTTGGGTTTGCTGTGGCAAGTGCTCTAACAACCCACCCAGAACTGTTAGCATGACACCCTTTACTAGCATCACTTCACAGCTGCCAGCCCTCAGACACACATTCTCCTGGCCTATGTGGCCTCTAGGAGTAATTTTCATAGCACAATCCAATGCACAATGATTGCACCATTCTTCTGTGTCAGACTAGCCCTTTTGTCTCCCACAGCTCCAAGAAGGCAGTCTTGTTACCAGTATTTGCATTTGTGGAAGCTTGGGCCCAGACAAGGCAAGTCACTTACTTGAGGTCACACAGCTACTAAGTAAGGATTTGAGCCTAGACCTCCCTGCTTTGAGCCAAGTGCACTTGGCACTAAAATTCTGGGAACAAAGAAGTCGCTACTCAAGCATTTTTTGTTTGTCTACACATTTACGGTCAGAACACTGGATACTGAGATATTAATCATTCCATCCTCAGAATGTGATGAATCCCTGCCACTCTGAAAAGCCTTGCACGGTCTTAATAGTCATCCAGCCACTGACGCAGGTGATGGTAGGAAAGAGGGGAGCTGCTCAGAGTCTCCCCCTGCCTTCACATCACACCATTGCTAACCACACTGTTGCAAAAGAATGCATTGCTTTCTTTCCGAGCTCCATCCTTTGGCCTGTTTGGCCTGTGAGCTGGGAGGAAGAGATGTTGTGATTCTGAGCACCCATTCAACTGGGGACAATGCAGTGTTTGTATATTGAGGTACTTTTTCTTCTACAACCAAGTCTCTATTCAGTATAAATACTCTGGGATGCCCACTAGGAGTATCCTAGCTTGTTTGTAGCATGCTGGCAGGCTGTATGGTAAGGGCTGAGAGGAGCAACCAACCCCACTTTATTTCATTTCTATAAGTGGGTGCCACCCCATACACCACCAATTGTTCGATATGTGCCGGTGTCAAGAATTAGGCCCCCTGCTCCCCAGTTACTTGCAGGTCTCCCACCCACATGCGAGTAGGCCACCTCTGCCCATTGCCCTCAAAGGCTCCTTCCAAGTCTTGGAAAACTCAGTCACACTGAGGCTTTTTGCTAATTATAACAACAGCTAAAGGGATGCTGGGAAGATGGTGACAGAGTAGGATGGAGCAGATTCTAGCTCCCGTACTCATGGGTGAAAATCATGGCAGATCTATAGAGAAACAGCACAATAAACCATCGGTTACCCAGCATTTATGAAATTAAAAGACCAGAGACTGTGACCGACGCTGAAACACCAGACAGCAGCAGAGTCAGCTACGGGAGCTGGGACACAGCACCTGAGCCGCCGCCATAGCAACGGGCCTGGGAGCCGGGGAGTCAGCTATGGGAGCCATACACTCCAAGTCCCTGTGACGAACCTGGGCACCAGGGGAGTCAGCTACAGGAGCCGGGACATTCTCGGCCACTGTGCTGCTGCCATAGTGATGGGACTGGATGCCAGGGAGTTAGGTACGGGAGCTGGGACACTAGAGGCCCCTGTGCCACTGCCACAGAGACGGGCATGGGCACCGGGGAGTCAGGTACGAGAGCTGGGACACTCCAGGCCCCTGTGACAGGCCTGGGCATCAGAGGAGTCAGCTACGGGAGTTGGGACACTCTCGGGCCCTGTGCCCCTGCCATAGCGATGGGACTGGGTGCTGGGGAGTCAGCTGCAGGAGCTGGGACACTCAGCAGTGGTAGGCAACCAGTGTGGGGACAAGCTCAAGGACCAGCGTGAGAGTAGGTGGAGGCGGAGAACATCAAGATACCTGAAGGAGTCTGCACCACTGAACTTCACAGGTATCATACCGCAGAAGGTCACACCATAAACCCAGGGAGTCAGAACAGGTCAACTTTAGAAGCTGAGACTAACAAGAAGAATCTCAAACAATGGGAAGACAAATAAGCAATCCCCAAATGAAAGAAAGAGCAGAAACTTCAGAAAGAATATTAGATGAAATACAGCCTAATCAACTATCAGATAGTGAATTCAAAGCACTGGTTTTCACGAAGTTCAAAGAGCTCACAATGAGCTATCAGAAACTACATGAAAACTACAATGATCTCTCTGCAAACTACAGCAACATGAAAAAAAGAATTAGAAACTATCAGCACGGGAAAAGAGGAACTGAAGAATACAATTTCCAAATTGAATAACACAGTAGATAGTTTCAAAAGTAGGATAGATGAGGCGGAGGATTGGATTAGTGAGTTGGAGGACAGAGTAGAAAGCATCTCACAGAAAGAGCAAGAAAATGAAAAGAGGCTCAGAAAGAATGTCGAGGGATTAAGAGAAATGCAAGACAAAATGAAACATAATAATATCCAAATAATAGAAATACCAGAAGGAGAAGAAGAAGAACAAGGGATAGAAAACCTAGTTGAAAGAGTAATGAGAGAACATTGCCCTAATTTGATGAGAGAAAAAGTCTCACAGATCCAGGAATCACAGAGAGTCCCAATAAAGAGGAACCCAAGGAGGCCAACTTCAAGACACATCATCATCAAAATGGCAAAATTCCAAGACAAAGAGAGAATCTTAATGGCAGCAAGGGAGAAGAAAGAAGTAATATACAAGGGAGCCCCAATAAGGTTAGCTACTGACTTCTCACTGGAAACACTCCAGGCAAGAAGAGAATGGCAAGAAATATTCCAAGTAATGAGAACCAGAGGTTTACAACCAAGGCTACTTTACCCAGCAAGGCTCTCAATCAACATAGAAGGCCAAATAAAGAGCTTCCAAGACAAAAGAAGTCTAAAAGAATAAGCCTCCACCAAACCAGCTCTACAAGAAATACTAAAAGGACTGCTTTAAGGGAAGGAATGAAAAGAGGGAGACAGAGAGGAACACAGGTACAAAAATGGCAATGATTAAGTACCTATCAAGAATAACCTTAAATGTAAATGGATTAAATGCTCCAATCAAAAGACACAGAATAGCTCAATGAATGAGAAAGCATGACCCACACATATGCTGCCTACAAGAGACCCACCTCAGGACAAAAGACCATCACAGACTAAAAGTGAAAGGCTGGAAACAAGTTTTCCAAGCAAACGGACAAGAAAAAAAAAAGCTGGGGTAGCAATTATCATATCGGACAAAATAGACTTCAAAAAAGGGCCATAAAGAAGGTCACTTCATTATACTCAAGGGAAGAATCCACCAAGAAGACATTAACATCATAAATATATATGTACCCAACATAGGGGCACCCAAATATATCAAGAAAATCTTAGAGGACTTCAAGAAAGATATTGACAGCAACACAATTATACTAGGGGATTTGAACACCCCACTATCAAAAATGGACAGATCTTCCAAACAAAATATCAACAAAGATATGGCAGCATTAAACAACACCCTTGATGAAATGGACCTAACTGATATATATAGAGCCCTTCATCCCAAAGAAGCTAAATACACATTCTTTTCAAATGCACATGGAACATTTTCAAAGATAGACCACATGATAGGACACAAAACCAGCCTCAAAAAATTCAAGAAAATTGAAATCATACCAAGCATCTTCTCTGACCACAAGGGACTGAAATTGGAAACCAATCCCAAAGAAAAAAACCCAAAACACCCAAAATGATGGAGACTGAATGGTATGCTATTAAACAACGAATGGGTCAAGAATGAAATTAGGGAAGAAATCAAAACGTTTCTGGAACAAATGAAAATAATCTCACAACAACCCAAAACTTATGTGACACAGCCAAGGCAGTCCTGAGAGGGAAGTTTATAGCAATACAGGCCTACCTAAAGAAGATAGAAACATTTCAAACAAACAACATAACCCTATGCCTGCAAGAACTTGAGGAACAACAACAAAGACAGTCCAGGGCAAGCAGAAGGAAGGAAATAACCAAGATTAGAGCAGAATTAAATGACATCAAAACTAAAAGCACAATTTTAAGGATCAATGAATCCAGGAGTTGGTTCTTTGAGAAGATAAACAAAATAGACAAGCCTTTAAGTAGGCTCATCAAGAAAAGAAGAGAGAGGACACAAATAAACACAATCAGAAACGAAAGAGTAGACATTACAACTGATACCACAGAAATAGAAAGGATTGTAAGAAATTACTAGTATGCCAAGAAATTTGAAAATCTCAGGGAAATAGACACATTTCAAAAAAAAAAACACCATATTCTAAAACTCAGTGAAAAAGAAGCAGAAAATCTGAACACACCAATAACAGCAAAAGAAATTGAAGCAGTAATCAAAAAACTCCCATCACACAAAAGCCCTGGACCAGATGGTTTCACAGGGGAATTCTACAAAGCATTTAAGGAAGAGCTAACCCCTATTCTCCACAGACTATTCCAAAAAATCCAGAAGGATGGAAAACTCCCAAATTCTTTATGAAGCCAGCATCATCCTAATTCCAAAACCAGACAGAGCACAACAAAGAAAGAAAACTTCAGGCCAATATCGTTGATGAACATAGACGCTAAAAATCTTCAACAAAATATTGGCAAATCGCATCCAACAATATATCAAAAAGATCATACACCATCACCAAGTGGGATTCATCCCAGGGATGCAAGGATGGTTCAATATTCACAAATCAGTAAATGTAATATATCACATAAACAAAAGCAAAGACAAAAACCAAACGATCATATCAATAGACGCTGAAAAAGCCTTTGATAAGGTACAACACCCATTTATGATAAAAACACTCAGCAAAGTGGGAATACAGGGAGCATTCCTCAATATAATAAAGGCCATATATGAGAGACCTACAGCCAACATCATACTCAATGGGCAAAAACTAGAAGCTTTTCCACTAAGATCAGGAACAAGACAAGGATGTCCACTTTCAGCACTTCTATTCAATATAGTATTGAAAGTTTTAGCCACAGCAATCAGGCAAGAAAAGGAAATAAAAAACATCTAAACAGGAAAAGAGGAAGCAAAACTGTCACTGTTTGCAGATGACATGGTAGTGTACATGGAAAATCCATAGACTCTACCCCAAAACTGCTCGACCTAATTAATGAAGTTGGCAAAACAGCTGGTTACAAAGTCAATATCCAGAAATCAAAGGCATTTTTGTATACAAACAATGAATCAGCAGAAGCAGAAATCAAGGAAAAAATTCCATTTGATATAGCAAAAAGAAAAATAAAATATCTGGGAATAAACCTAACTAAGGAGGTAAAAGACCTATATGCAGAAAACTACACAGCCCTGAAGAAAGAAATCAAGGAAGACACAAACAATGGAAACATATACGTTGTTCATGGATTGGGAGAATTAATATCATCAAAATG